ACAATACACTCATTCCGTTTGGTCGGTGGAGTTCTTGTTATTCCTCCACCGACCTATACTCAAACTAATCTAGATTGGGGTCGATGGAGTAATTTTATAAATATTACGCTATCGACCCCGAACACACTCATACTTTCTCTTATTTAAAAAAACAAACATTTATATTATACTCAAAGGCAAAAAAGGGCACTCATATTTTGCTGTTTATTTCTAACTATATGCATTTAACCTTACATTAATTACAACTTACTTATTTTAATGTAAACCAAATTAATAGATCAAAAATTCATTAGTTTCAATAAAAATTATTTAATTATGATGGTTTGAAAGAAAATTTATCAAAACAAGGGAAAATCATTTAATGATCGAATGAATTTCACTAACAATTTATTAACTGGTTTTGCTCTTATTAACGCATTAAGAGCTAAACAAGGTAAAAAAAATTTTAGTTGAATTTTAATATTATATAATAAATAATTTTTTAATTGTAAAACATTACAATATTACCTGGCTATAACGAAATCCATAAATTTGAAATTTTTATGCAGTTTTAAAGAAAAAATAAACGAAATTGAATAATAATAAATATATTCAATTATAAAAATTATAATAAACCATTAACCACTGTTTTATCTAGTTTTTATTTTATTTTATATAGTGTCGAACCATGATCCAAGTAGATATGTCTCCTTGTATTATACGTATTGACATCAATAAATTGGAGAAAATCTCAACTAAAAATAGGGCCGCTTCTCGGAAAATGTTTTATCACCAAATTTTTCAGCCAAGCCGAGTCAACATGTTTGTGCCGGAACTAGCATAAAAACCACTAAAATAAATTTATTTCAATAATAAATCTTCAGTTCTTGATGAGCAAATTGGCGATCCATGTCTTAATACACTTTAATTAGGGCGATATATTTTATCCTGAATACAATTATTTACCTGATTGATATAATTACAATCTAAGGATATTGATATTATGCTCAACTGATTAACTAAGAAATACAAACATTAAATATTAACTTTATAACTTTATGATCGTATGAAAAAGACACTATACACAACTAGGCCCAAAATTGAACCAACACTCAACTTAGGCAACAGTAAATGCCTCAATTAATGAAATAAATCATGAATATATGTGATTTGAAAGGCATTTAGTTGGGGCGTCGGTGGCCGCAACGGTTTGACACAGCGCTCATCATTGTAAGGTAAAGGTTCGAATCCAGCGGTCTTGCATTTACAATTTGCCTTGCACAAATGGGCTTTTTTTTCAAAAACACCGGCACCCCGAGGATTCATATAGCCTAGTTAAAAAAGGCATTTAGTTTTTTAAGCATCATAAAAATATATATATGCACTATTTTTCGTGGTCCGCTTGACCAATTAATAACATTCAATTAATTAAGGTTTTAAGTTGAGATAAAAAAGTCAGTGTCACGAGCGGGATTAGAACCCACGACCTTCGGGTTCGAATCCCGCTCGTGACACTGACTTTTTATCTCAACTTAAAACCTTAATTAATTGAATATTATATATATATGTATGCAATTTCAATAAAACAGTATATATGTCGTAAGCAGGGTAAACGTGGTAAAGTATTTCTTAATATTATTAAGAACGGTGACACGGCCCTACGTTTGCAATTTTTTTTAAAGCACCGGTACCTCGAGGATTCATATAACCTCGTATTTGAAATACCCTCTTTAAAAACAACTTAATATTATAACAATTAAACCGTTTAAAAAATCTACAATCTAATAATTAAATAATCTAATAATTTGTTCATAATTTAAAATAGTTTAAAAAATAATTCCAATAAACACCTTAACATAGAAATCGATAGTCAAATCGGTGAAAGCAATATTAGAGATATAAATTTCGGAAAAACGCCAAAAAGTATGACTGGACTAAGACACAAATAAATAAAAAAAGACGCCTCTCTGGATTTCATGGCTGTCAGCTTTTTCACCCACAACCGGATGTTGTCATCACTAAAAAAAATTCATCCTTCCCCCAATTATTTATAGAACAAAAAAAAAACTAAATTGTTTATCAGATAAAATCAGTCAACAGTTTTGGCTTTATGTTAACTTTTGACGATTTATTAAACTGTCACAAAATAGGACTTGAAATATTTGAAGTATGGCGAAAAAAAATGTTTACACAACAGAATTACAATTTTGAAAACATAGAATGGCGATCATTCTTTATACATAATATGTGTCATTCAGATAAGGTCAGTTAAGCTATGTGGTTAAACAATCTTTTAGAAAGTATTTTGCCCATAGTTACGAATAGTAACCTATAATAATAAATTAATTAATAAAACTATAAATAGTTTGTCTAAAAGTTGTTAATAACTATTCATAGATGAACGGATATAAATAAGTTGTTTAAAGGCCAACTTTTATAAATCTATAACTCCGGAAATCGAGAAAAAAAATAGTACAAGAATATCAAACGAGGAAAAGAGACGGTTGCTTCTCTGGAGGTTTTATTATCCGAGATCACTTTATAATGAGGCCACGAAATTCTAAATGGTCAGTATTGTGCCCCGTCTCTAGTGACAGAATAACCGAACGACGAAATAATTTATCATATAAGAACAATAAATCAGATTTAGGTATTGATACTTAGTCTGTTCTCAGGTTTGATTGTATATATTTTTATCTGAATGCACTTCTCAGAAACACATTAATATATGACTGAAAACAAATCTTTCGATAATATTAAATTATTCGCCTTAGAAAATAAGTAAATCGAGACAGAAAATCCCAATCATTGGTTGCTGATCCGTAAGTTTTGCTCTTATATTATTACCTCTTTATTGGATAGAATGAACCAATAAAGTCATGGAGTTTTGAAATTGGCGAATTAGCATTGGTTTGAAAAAATTAATGTTAGATAGTTTTTACTTAGAAAGAAAGAACGGCTCAAAGGGATATTGACAACGTTATTCAGCAAGCTGTGGAATGAAATCCAAGTCAACCCATCTACATCACAAATGGAAGGTGAAAAAAAAGCTGTACACAGGTCCCGCTTGAACCACTAATTCCGCTAAGAGTGTAGAAACTTGTGGAATATTTTTAAAAATCACATTTTATGTGAGATTTCACCGATGACTGACATGTGTGGTGAAAAGTGGCTAGAGTCGGCTTTTCTTGAGCTGTAAACCAGGTGCAGCGTGACAAATTCCATTATGTGCGTGTTTGATTACGTAGGTGTTATTCATCACATCGAACTACTGCGAAAAGTTGAAAAGGATGAACGCGAAATTGTCACCCAGGTTGACCGTTAAAGACCGTTGCAGTCAGATAGCTATGGACTTCTTGCTCCATTATTATTATTATTTATTTCGGCCCATGCCCTACATTTAACAGTTTGTCTTCACCAGCAAAAAAACCTTCCTCCCATCTACTTTAACAATATTCCTTTAGCCAGAACAAACCACGTACCCTACACACAGGATAATACGGACATACGTCATAAGATGATCTACGTTTACTTTAAAACCGTTCTAAACTAATATTGTAGAAAAAGTCTACAAGTAGTGACTTATATCCATATAGTCTTATAACTACAACTTCTTACCAGTTGTCCGCATAATAATAATAATAATACCTTTTTACCTATGCACTAGACCTTACCAAATCACTTCAATTCCATTTTAAATTACAATATTTCGTTACCATTCTCATAATTTATCCCAATTACCTTTCCCAATGTTACCCCCCTTTCCGATGATTGAAGGGCTCCATGATCAACGGCTAGTACGATATTCCAGGGATGACGTCGTCCAAGACATTCATGCCATGAAACCTCTTACAGAACTTCAGTTTGTCATATACTTTCTACGTGGTTGCAAAACTGACAAATAAATAAATAAAACTATTTTGCAGAAATGAAAATTACGGCGCAAGAGATATTAAACAGCCATCCCTAGCAGGTATCAATCAAGGTACCAGCGTGGGGTCGATAAACTGGCTGAAAGATTGGAATCAAAATGGACCCATATTTTTAATATTAAATTTATTTTATACTCCAAAAACGAAAATATGTACTTTTGGTTATAACAAAACAAAAACAACAATAATTTTTTTTCGGTTTCGTTCTATAAACCAACCAAAATAATACAAAAGTAAAGTATACAAAGAAAAAATGTTTATATAAAGTCAATAGCTGTAATCATCAATATTGAAAATAAAAACATCATGGATTGTATAACAATTCAACAATGTAACTTCCATGACACGTGTAACAGTCACGTGATACGTTGCCCTTATAGTTTTTTCTTTTCTTTTTTTATTTATGTTAATTACAGTTTAAAGTTTTTGGGTCGTGTGGCAAGAAAAGCATTAATTTTATACGCTCATATTCCGAAGGTAAATTGTAAATTCTTTCGGTCTTTTATCAATATGTAATGGAATGTAATATAAACCTATTTCACCACCATTATCAATTGATTGACGGTGAAATGATGAAATTGTTCAAATACAGATTATTTAAAATGTTATTGGTTTTGGGCCGGATCGATGGCATATTTGATTGGGGGGAAAAATGGATAACGTCGCGACGTCGTCCTGCAATAAATTAAATTAACGAGAGTAGCATGAGTACAGGCCGGAATGTTTCTGACGACCGAAACGTAAAATCAATTCAACGGTGCCGGGGGGCGTCAGGTCGAGGTGAGGTTTCCACAAACGGATGGACCTACCGTCGTACGAATTCCATACAATTGCCAGCAAAAATAAAGAAATTCTGCTAAAAAATCTAAAATAAATTCACGGGTTTTAAAAATTACCCCTCGTTTATATCCTTGTCGAGAATACTTTTCAGCACAGATTATATGAAAACTGCTAATATGAGTGCTCAAGAAGAATCCATTTTCCCAATTAATGAACTCGATTTTTTTTTTGCAAAAGTATTGTTAAAGTTAAATTGTACTGTTTCTGTGAGAGTGAACACTTAATTACCAGTTGACCATTGCTAATCACCTCTATTTGTTCTTGGTCAGCCGCCTTCGTATCATGCCACCTCATTGAATCGGCAGACGTAGATTACATCTGAAACTATCAAGCCGAATGTTAAACCCTGTGTAACTTAACAAAAATAAAAGCCTTTTGCAGCATAAAGTTTATAAAAATTGGCTGACACTTAGTATTTGAAATAAAATAATTTAATTGAACGGAGAAGATTCGGTGGCGAAACAGAGAGTCCAAAATGATCTATTACCACCGTCCAAAGCTTTTTCTTCAGACTGACAAGTCTTAATGGGCAACATTCTTCTTGCGTATAAAATTGGATTTTCTTTTATATCATTTCACGTTCTTTTCGATTGCGGGTGAGTGTTTAAAATGATCAAAAAAGACCAGACATAAGGTTTGATCAAGCTGACTGATCAAAAAGTAGGCTATCCAGCCAAATACAAGGTTTTTCCAGTTCTGGTCAGATAGGTCAAAATGTCAATTCCAAATGAAATTTTCTCTCTCTACGCCCATGAATAATTTGTGCCCGAATAATAATTTCTGAATTCGGGCCTCGTATAGTTGGTGATGAATATTTTATCCTAAAGTGTAGCTGGACTAGAATAAGCATGCTGTCGATTCCTCAATATGAAAGCGGAAGAAATAAGTATTGTTGTTTTGGCCAGATTTGTCTTTTTAAAAGGTAGTTCCTACTCACAGTAAGTTGTTTTCAACCATCCGGATTTCGAGCCTACAGCTCATCATCAGGTTGAAGGAGCTCTACAACTACGTCTCTCGACATGGATTACAAGACTAAAAAGACAAGATTTAAAAAGATTGAACAACACACTCACTCCGCCATTTATCTAAGGGTAAATGAATTTCTTCAATTTAATGGTAACTTGGGAAAAAACTTTTTGTGTGCTTTCTATTACATTAATTGACTAACATTCTACATTTAGACCACCGGCCAAACACGCCGCCGCTCTACCACCCGAGCCATCGCGACTTCGATCCACTCGGACACCAACCTCCCATCTCAACCTCAGATGGTCCTGGGTCGAGTCCCGCTTGTGACACTGACTTTTTGATCTCAACCAATACCTATAGGAATTCTAAATATTCTCAGTTTTCAAGGCTTTTTTTAATGATTTTGAACGCTTATTGTATATCAATTCTAAACTCAAGTCAGTCGATCCTAGTTTGCCAGTTTGTCGGTTTCTTCATTCTCTTTTATTCCGACCTAGTTGTACATTAACCTTTAATTTCACTAGAATTTGAATGATTTTCATTATTGTTCAGGCAAAACTATGATCGTAATAAATTATCTATTCCAAGGAAACTTGACCGTCACTTAAGATGGGTTCGACAATCTTCTCCGCTTTTCTATTACTTGCAAGCCATTGCAACGAAGTTCTGTCTGATTATTTGAAAATACCTGATGTAGTCTGTATTTTGCTTGATACGTTTTTAAACCAATCCTTAAACATAAAAAAAAACACTGCTAACGTCAAACACCAAGATGAGACATCTCAGTATTATGTTGATACTGGATGTCAATTGCATCTGCCAGATGTTGCTATATATTGCAAGGGTCTATCATAGGGTGTCGCTTGAAGCAGCACTCCCCCCAGGAGCCCAACCTTGGTGTCTAGACGGATAAGAATGAGGTCTGGCCCCGGACTGCCAACACTCCGGTTGGGTGATTCCAGAGTCTGCCGGCAGTTTACTGTAAATAGGTGAAAAGCTGGCACTATGAGAAGCGAATAGCCTCAACTCGGCAATGTTTGTATGCATTTACATACATTTGCGGATTTGAGCCTATATAAATCCAAATCCAAAATCCATACTGTTTTTCAGACTTGAGGTGTATTCTCCGTTTTTCTTCCTGAGGGTAGACCATAATTGATTTCTATTTATTTTACTCGATAGCGATCTGTAAACAATATCCGAGATTTTTCCAGTCTTATTACAAATTTCCACAATTTTATTTTTGTCGATTTAATTTCCTCATCATACTGCTTTCTGAAAGGGTAATATCGCGATTTTCTTTGTCTTCTTAACTGTTGATTATTGCACGTCCTTTTATATGCCTTCTCATTTACTTTTTTTAAGAGCTTCAATATCATCGTTCCACCAGCTCACTGATTTGTTTTTTTTAAAATTGTAGTTCCTTTATTACATGTACTTGTCTTTTGACAGATCTTAATCATCATTATCTATTCTACATTGCTGAGAAAATAATCTAAATTTGCCGATTTAATTATCAATTCTACTAATTTTTGGTCTAAATGATTTAAATTGTCAATTGATCAAAGCATAAAGTATATTTTTGAAACCATTTTTTTTAGGTATATCCGAGTTCCCCAATTTGCTATTTTTGTATAAAACCATTTGAAAAGTTCATTTTACTTATTGGTTTGATTAGCAGACTTGAACTATCGAAACATAACAAATCTTTAAACAGACAGGCTCTTTTCCTCACAAATTTTCCGTCATCTATAAATATCATATAATGGTGTGCAAGATATATAGTTAAATCTATATTCCTTTTTCCTTCCCTATATCTTTAATGAAGTTAAACATTATGATGATTTCAAAATTTCTATCTTTAAACAACCAAAACAATGAATAAATAAATGTGTGATGATTTCACGATAACCTGCTAGTAACGAGCACTTTCTTTTATAGCATAAGAACTTCTGACGCAGTTTGTCTTCCCAAATACAAAAAAATGAAATAATTTTGATTTGAACTGATAAAATAAAAAATACAGAATTATCATTAAAGGGCCTAAGATAATAATCCAATAAATGGACACTGAATAATGACATGCTCCAATGACATCATGAGATGTCAATCTCATACAATTTGTCTTGCTATAGAGCTTAAACGGATTACGATAATAGGTTCGTTTTCATCGTTATTCTCTCTAAAAATGTATACTTAATCATGAAAACCGTGAATGACCCAAAATAATGCGCCTATACACTGGATTATACAGAAAGTTAATGGCTTTAGTTTTTGCCTAATGGGCTTGTATGGGTGGAGTACTTTGTAAATTTTAAAATTTAAAGCTCATTGGGGTTTGACTGAAACTCTCTCTTAACAATCCGATAAAGCTCCAGCATTATTAAAAATTTTCGAAAAGAGAATTTTCTAGTTGATTCCATAGAATCAGCTAAATCGTAGGAGGTAGATGGTTTTTGTACAAAAAAGTAAATAAATAAATAATAATAATAATAATAATAATAAATAAAATAACATAAATTCATTTTCTGAATTAAAAAGTATTTATTATAAATATTGTGAAAAAATTAAGTTTAATAAAGGAGTAAATTTTTATAGAATCAGCGCTAATAATTTTCTCGAATTCAGTCCTAATATCTTCAAAATTTTTATCTACAAATCCAAAGTAATATCTACCAACGACAACCAGCAAGACAGAGCGGACCAGTTTCGCAGCAAATGTTTAAATCAGCTCCCCTCATTTATTGTGGAAAAAAATTATGATTTTTTTTTACAATGCCCACATGACATAAACATGTCATAATTAATTTCTTAAAGTTCTCTATTAAATGGGTGAAATGTTGAGTTGTACTGATTTAACAAAATTTGTATGTCATGTTTTGAAAAGGTTGAAAAAGAAACACATCTATTTTACGAACTATGAACGAAGAACTGATGAAGATTTAAAAGACAAATTTTAATTTTGAGTATGGGCCGACACAGGTACACTTTACATGAATAATAAATAAGATTTATCAAGCATGACGATTGTGGGAAAACCTATATAAATAAAACTGTATCATGATAACTTTTGTATCTGCTGATTCACAGGTTTCATGGTAATTAGTATTTTTTATAACATGGGATGATGTATATTTACGAATTACCACGTTAAATGAAATCAGTAAAAATGGGTCTCTTATTAATAACTTTCATTTATCTATAATGTATTAATGCATCATAATAAGTCACCGATATTATAAAATGAACTGAAATGTATTTACTATATTAAGCTGTTCGAAAAGACCCTATTATGAAAACAAACTATTGTAACAACAATAACTTTTTGCTTTATGTTAGAAAACATCTCCAAGTGTTTTTTAATAAAAAATTAAATAGACAACATATTTACATTTATTTGGACATTTCGGGATTTTACACTACATTTTCTAATTAAAAAAAAAAAAATATATATATATAGTTGTNTATATTCATATTTTACAACGTTTGATTAAAAAGCTAACCATATATTGTATGAAATTTATAATTTATTATTATCTACAGTATTATATTTTAAAAGGTATGGCTATCTTGCATCTTTATTTTAAGTTTATTTATACACATTTTTGTATTAATTCTAAGTAATATTTAAAAATAGAGTTCTTGTCTTTCTCACACAGATTATTGAAAATACTTGACAATTTTTTTTTAAATATCCACATTTAATGGATATTCTAATAATAATATAAAGGAATTGTGGAATAAAAATATTCAAAATGTAAATGACATTAAATCTAATATAAAAACTAAAAACTTTCAAAAAATATTAAAAACCCAGAACAGAGCTCAGACTGCAAATATTGAGTGCTTTGAATATTTTTATACCACAATTCTGTTATAAAATTAATAGAATATCCATTTCATGCGTTTCAAAAATGTTCAAGAATTTTCAATAATCTGTGCGAGAATGGTAGAGCTCTATTTTTAAATATAACTTAGAAGGAATACACAAATTAAATTAAATTATAAATTACTTAAATTACAGGTGGAAGATGGCCATATCTTTATTATACCTGTCTTTTTATAAAAAACAAAGATGCTTGATGATGGGTGTAAGTTCCCAAAACGTCCAAATAAATGTACATACGTAATGTAATTACTTGTTTATTTAAAAAAAACCCACATGCTATGTATTCTAACATATCAAACAATTTATATAAGACAAATTAGTCTTATAAATTTCATGTTTAAAATACAAACCCTTTAAAACAATAATGATTTGTAATGATAAAACAATTATGTATTTAAAAAGCAATTATTCTTTAATTAGAAAAATTTTAAAAGCATATTCTAAGAAATGAAGCCCAGCATAAACC